CACGGCCCAAATAAAGGATTTTTGCGAGAGCTTGTTGCGGAGGGCTCCGGCACGCCGCAAGGATAGCTTTCTTGCGGAATTTTCTGCAGCGCCGGAGTGTCTCGGTAACCGCAGCCGGACAGCTCAGCAGCCGGTGAGAGAGGTTTACGTCTTTTTAATGACTTGGAATCATTGCGGCGCCGCACCCACCGCACCGCACCGGTAAGACCGGAGTCGGTGTGAGCCTGGGGTAAGAGAGCACATCCAGCCAGTCACAGTAAGAAAAACAGGACTACACTGAAAAACTGGCTGTTCTCCAACATCTATAAACAAAGGTGTTGATGGCAGCAGCACAGCCGATATTTCTCTCCAGGATGGAGTCACAGCCAAACAGGAATACATTCTAGAAACCAGCACTGAGTGAAGGCTCTGCTGCTCTTTTAAGACCAGCACTCTGATGAGAAAGAAACTCACACTAACCCACACACAGGAACCCTGACAGCAAATTAATACAAATAAAATTATGACATTTACATTTTTCTAACAGTAACCATTAGACAGACTGTGTTTTATTGTGTTTAATGCTGATGCTACAACATTTCTGTCTTAGCAGCATCACTTCTTAAAATACCTTGTAGATCAGGTCTTTGAGAATAACTTTTAATCATAAAAAAATTCAACTACAGACAATTAAACAGAACAAGACATCCATGCTACAAAATTGTATTTCAAGATTAAATAAATATGTTAACAGAAAACATTAGTAACTGAATTAAACAGACAAATCCCATATGTACCACTAATATAATCATTGAAGAAAACGTAAAATTCATTTGTCAGGACAGTTGCAATAGGTAATTCATGATTCGTACCTTGACTGATAAAGCTGATAAGCACTATCGATTGATTACACCACTGCTACACCTGAATAACCTCAGTCTCTCATCTATAAATGATTAACTTCCAACTAGTGTTTTGGAAGTAATGTACTATGTCTCTGTGTTAGATTAGTCTAAGATTGATAGAAGAGTAAGAAGATTAGAAGACTGATAGAAGATTGAATGAGAGAGGATGAAAATAGGTGGCACCTGCAGGGTATTGTGCAAAGTTTTATGCCAGTGGCATAAGTAAGGAATGGCCTCCCATTTCACTGTACCCTTGTTATCAAACATTGACCTGACAATAAAAGTCTCTCCATTTCCAAGGAAAAAGTTTAAAGTACTGTGAGAGAAGGAGGGGCAACAAAAACAGCAAAAACTGCAGGTATGATAAAAAAGAGACTGTTGACGGTCGATGGATATCATGAAAATATATACATTGGTTCCTTGCTGTGTGGGAAACAAAAGGGGAATACAAAAAAAGTTGACTTGATTAGTATTAATATTTTTCCACCCTAGGAACTGTCCCAAATTTCAATGTGCTTTGAAAGTAACTTCTATATTAACTAGGTGAAATTATATTCTAAGGAGTTACTGAGGTCAGTAACACAGTCCAAGT